TGCAGACGCGCCCTGCGAAATCATTTATAGGACAGCAGTACGCGAGGCCTGTGTGGGCGTGAGGCGGACAGCCCGAGGCATCTCCTCCGAGCTGGCCTGGAATCGTCTTCGAAATGGCACGGTACAGATGCACTTCAATGATACAGTCTGGAGCTTTGAGACGCCTCGACGGGTAATGACAGTGGGGCGAATGTACGCGCTGGCTGAAGAGAGAGCAATGGGCTACTATCTGGAAATCTCACCGAAGGACCAGAACGTGTCGGACTACGTAGAAGTGTTCGCTGAAAAACCCGGTCAGGTGGCAATCAGATCTACCTGGTTGAAGGTAGGTACTCTTCTTTGGCTTGGCTGTCTTGTTTGGTTGTTTGTTTCCCTCTGCTTAGCTCAGGCTAAGTGTTACTTCCAAATATTTCGGCATATGTAGGGTAACAGGCAAGGCCTTTGATGACTCTATTGACATACAAATGTAGTCAATGTAAGATACGTTAAATAAAAATGTTACTATAAAATAGTGAGTAGTACATGTAGTACATGTACACATTTTAACAGTGAAATCCTGAGGATCGTATATATTATTGCAAACTAACAGATGTTAATTTTATCTGTCAGCGTGAGCGAAGCTTTGATATATTCTAATAGCGCTTTCTTTTGCATATGAATACTATCTGTTAAGTACATATACATCAAGATGGCGTTTAAATGCATCTGTTGAGCTCGCCATGATGAGCCCCATGGGCAGTCCGCCCCAGGCACCGATGTCTCGCTGTGAAAAAGAATGGCTACGGCCATCCAGATGGGATAAGGTTCCGCCAAGTTTGAGGGAATTCGCACGCAGGTTATTTTGTCTGGCGCATACGAAGGAATCATCAAGCTACTGGTCACAGTCCCGATTCCTCATGATCTGTTATCTCGGTAGGAGATCACTTCGGATCTGCCTGTACTCAAGAGGCAAAAGGTTTACTGCCTTAAGTCCGCATTCCTAAGATAAGGACTTTAGTTCCTTCCGAACTTTCGTTGCATTTTTGGACCCTTTCCAGTAGCTTGTAATCTTTTTCAACCACGGGCACCACGCCTAAACT